TTGTAATCTTTCAACAATTCCTCCATTTGCCACAGCTTTTGCCGCTTTTGCCGTAAAACATAGCGCGAATCACGAAACCCAGCGAAATAAACACAAATGAACAAGTAGAGATAGGTGATGTCGTCAAAAACAATAACGAAGATGAGTAGATTGGCGAATATCATAGCGAACATGAATGCGATTGCAGACGGCGAGATGTCACTCATAATCCAAAACGGATTCACAGAGGCCCGTATGAATGTCAGTTCTTGTAGCGACGGCTGATAAATGTAATCGGTGCAGAAATGACTAGAGCAGGTACAGGTCTGATAAATGGTACCATTCGTTGCTATTATATAGTAGCAATGGTCTTCTTCTGACCAATCAATGAAATTCCTAAAATAGTGAATAGTAAGCTGTCAGCCATCGATATGTGTTGTTGGTGAAAGCAAATACTGCCAAAGAAGTCAGAAGTCAAAGTACTCTCCATATTTAGCATAAAGCAGGGCGCAATGAGTAATCACCCGCTGGCAGGGCTGTTGACGGTTCCTCCTTTCGAAAATTGCTTAAGTGCAGGCTAAAGACGGTTATGACTCGCCGGCATACGCAAGTACCAATTTACTATCGAAACGAATGAACGAATGGTAGGCAGGCTGATTGTCATACCGGCACAGTCGAATCCCACACTTCCTCTATCAACAGAGCGCGGACAATGTAATCCTGGCAAGGCCAATGCGATCATTGACAAGTTTCTGTATAGTTTCTTCATTACAACTTTTTTTTGCCTTTTTTATCCAGCCCCTCCCAAAAAAGCGAATATTAGCATGGATGCAAATAAATGCTCCACGAAATTCAAACAAAACTGTGAAATACGCGAAAGCATTTCGAGCAATCCTGATTCATTAGCAAAATTTACCGATTTTTTGCAGGTAAACTTTCACATGTGATGGTTATTTCGGCAGGTACGTCTTCCGAAAGCGGGATAACTCGCACAAATTTGCACTGCACAATAGTCAAATTTTCAGGATTTCGACACTCATCCGGCCAAATAATGGGCACCCGAATTTCGAAGCTGTAGATCGCATTGCAGACTAGAGTCAGTGGCTTCGATTCGCATTCTTCGAGCATCCAGGACAACAGACAGAGTTCAAGAAGCAGCCGCATTTTAGAAAGCAAGGAAAGCAATCACTACATTTCATTTTTCGGATAACTATTTATATGAACATGAAATTTCTTTGTCGATAATATATGCATTTTTGTACAGGAAT